TGTTGATTTTTTAAATTCATTCTGGCCAAAGTAACAGAAGTAAATTGTTTCATGATTGTAAACTGGGGTGTATTCCTGTGAAGTATGAGCACGAAGCCTGATCTAAGAGGCATTGAAAGAGTTTTTTCAAGGCCATTCAAAATGGACAACTACATATTTCTTATTTTGTTCTTTAGAATTGTCTACAATGCAAGTAAGTAAGATATTTTTCTCAAGGGTCTAGGACTTGGTACTGCTGGATGCAATTTCCTAGACTAATAAGACCACACTCAAAATTCCTGCAGACATTAGATGAAGATTACAACTGATGGTATGTTAGTGATAGAGGGCCAGAATTTCGCTATGATGGCTAGCTAGGAATTTCACCAGTTGAGAGAGCTATACAGTGGTATAAAATCAGGTAAACTATACTGTACATGTAGCCCCTGAAGAAATAGATAGTGATGGTACAACTTAGGCAACAGTTATTAGAGTGCTGCAAAGCTCTAACAGCACTGGCGCAAGCTGAGATGTCATCATCAACCTGTTCCACTATCACAGTCCTGTACCAAGCTTATCATGGGCACGCAAGAAAATCTGCATCTCAGGGGTGATTTCAGTGCCAAAGTCACAATAACACAGAGATTAAAATCCCAGCTGAGATCAGCACCTACTCCGAACTTCCATTGCCTTATAGTATTATAGAATAGAACACCTAGTTCACTTCTAACTCTTGTTATTATTATTTTTCTTGTGGGTATTTCTCTTGGATTTGGATAAGGAGAATAATAATTGTTCAGTCAAATTTTACCTATGCAGTTTTGATTTAGTTCTGTCTTGTGGTTTTGATTCACTACGGCAGCATTTCAGTTATTTTCTTGAAAAGTACTGAACAGAAATTGGATTTGATATGCTTTGTTTACAGCAATTATTTTTCATTACCAGGTCTGCATGTCAGGTCTGATTTGTTTGACCAGTGCCAAGTTCATTTGACAATGACTAAAAGCATTCTTGGTGTCCTTGTTGCTGGAAAAGGAATGGGACTGTCCGGTCCCTGTAGCATATAGTTTTACACAGCACAACACATATGCATGTAGAACTAGTTAGTGTAGGGAACTATCACTGGTTTTAATTAACTTGCAGTACTCCCATGTGCTTTTCACATGTGGAGTGATCTCTAGAGCACAAGTCTTGGAGTTTGATGAAAGACACTTTCCCCCCAGAATTCAAGTTCAGAGGAAAATCTTTATGTAAACATTGTAGAAAACCACGGAGTCTACATTTTGCTCCTGCTGAGAAAAACAAACTCTTTGTCCTCATATTAGTATATCTTCCTGTGTGGAGGAAAACACAGAGTATTTTCAGGTGCTTTTGTCTGAAGGGTAAGAAGAGAAAAGGGAAAAGGAAAAGAGCTGAATTTTGCGTCATTTTTCTTTAAAGAATGTTTTCTCTTTTTTTAACCAATATTTTTGGATGACTAATTCCCTCATCAGTAAACATCAAAAACTCAACTAGTGCCACCTAAAACACTACACGATAAAATAATACAAAGTAAATTCTCTTTAGTGAAGGAGAAGGGCTTGTTAGATGGCACCTTCAGAAACACATGGGGTGATCACACAGTCGTAGAATTAGAGAAAGCATATATTTTACATATAAATATGTTTGTCTGGGGCATGCTTTGCAAAGCATCACATACAAGCTAAGTTTCATATATTTACAAAGTGTCATCAGCTGATTCATTGCTGAATAAAACATTAGAAGACTTTAATCTCCCCCAAGGAGTTTGCAGTCTCATTGTAGTGCTGACAAACACAGTATGTAGGGGAGAAGAGATAGAAGCCTTCCCTTCCTTCAGCTTAAGTTCCATTGTACTTAATGCACGTAGGCTTCAATACAGAGTACCAGACAATGCTTTTACTAATGCAAATATCTTGCATAGTGCACTACTGAAAGGCTTCCCAGGGTAAGATACTTGGGATGCATCACATAGGAAGGAGAGAGGTGCTCCGCACAGGAAGTAAATGTTAACGTTAAATATTTATGCAGATGAAGACTAAGAAAAAAGAAATTAGTATAAAGGTATCTGAATGATTTCAGGTTAAAGTACAATGCATTAAAACAGAGGTATTCAGGGTAAGATAATAATCTTTTGTTTCTCTATTTCAAAACTGAAATCTTAAAGAGAAGTTGTATTCATTGAGCTTCTAGTGAAGTTTTTGTTAGCAAGTGTAAGACTGACATAGCCAATATTGCTAAACTCTAGAATTAAAATATAAAGCTATTAAAAAGATAAATGTTTTTATTTTTCTACTTATTTTAATTTGAAGTTGGTTTTAGTGCATTTTTTTAACTTTCATACGTTCAACTGCTTTTCCATCAATGGTGAGGACTATAAATGTGATATTCTTAATGAGATCATATTTGAGTGCAGTCTCAGCTGCAAGAGCTGGAAGAATCAATTATACTAAATGTGGGCAAATAATTGACTTAGCAACAATGAACAAAAGAATTAGCATTTTAGTTAAGCTATCCGTAGAAATACTGTGACCGTATTTCTCCAAGTATTCTCCTTTAATAATTAAAAACGTTTTGCTTTTTGCTTTTCATCCCTGGCTCTGTTTGCCCTGCAGTTTTCAGACTCTTGCCTCCATCGCCAGCCAGTGCTGCCTGTGTTTTCTGTTGTGCAAGCTCTTGTACAGAGAAGTTGCTCGGTCATAGTCCCGCTCAAGATCTAGGCGGACTAGACCACTGTGAGCCATGTAAAACCACAGGTTTACAAACTACTCTCATTTATCAAAGAATTCCGTTACACAAGCTTTACATGAAGAGGAATTCATTACTAAACCCCAGGCATGCAGTTAAGCAATATTTACACTATTTGCAGTTTAAACAAGTCATTTTTAGCTTGACCTTACCTGGTCAGGAATAATCAGTTGAATTCAGCTGATGTTTACCTGTGTGAGTAGAAAATGAACCACAGTTAGGGATTTATTATGTGGGACAGGGCTATAATTCATGTGATGTTAGCAGCCCTCCTTTTAGCCTTGCAGTGGACATGGTGAGAGCTGTTTTTGAGTTCCCTGGAAAAAACATGGCCTTGGGAGTACATAAACATAACTTTGAGCAGCATTTTCACCTGAGCTTCATCCTGCAGCTGCTGAACAGTAACTTTGAGTCCAATATAAAGCTGCGGGAGGTCAACAGTAACATTTCCATCAAATGCAGCACATTTGGATTGGGTCTGACTTGACTTGACCTCTTAAGACTTTGTATTTAACAAAGACTTTAAGACTTTGTATTTGAAAGAGACATTGGTCTTCACACTGTCTTGGTTCTCACTGTCTTCTGAAAAAAGTTAGCTATAAAACACCAGGGTGTAGTAGGTGTCATTTCTGTTACATTTTTTTGGTGCTGCCCCAAAGTGTGCAGATGCAGTGTGAGTCCCAGAGGGCGTGATGAGATGTGCTGTGTGGAAAAGCATCGCACACTCTTGAATTACGCTTATTCTGGTAAAATAAGCACCAGAGATGAAAGATGTAAGTCGAAGAGAAGCCAAACAAAGTCCAGAGGCGCTGACTGATCCGGTTAAAACTGCTGTTGTTGGAAATTGCAAAAGACAGGTTTCCTGATGAAGTCCTAGGTACTTGCAGAGAAAGGGATTTCTGAAATTTTTACAGTTCGTGTGCTAAAGGAAGTGCAGTATAAGTAACATGTATTGTGCAAAAAAAGATTGTTACTTTTCAGAACGAAGTACTTAGTGATTTTTAGAGATGAATCCTGGCTTTAAAGGACTGACATGGGATTCCTTGTCCTTTGGCCCTTGTTGAAGAGACATTAAATTCTCATGGTGCAAGCCTCATCTTACAGGTTTTAGGCCAAGAAGTAAACATGCATGTCTGGCATTTGGTTACAAAATCTGCTTGTCATCTGTATAAAGTGACCCAACTTAGGAAAAATAAAGAGAATCTAGAACTTACTTTCTAGTGCAAAAACGAGCTTCCAGGCCTCTTAACTTGTAAGCTTTCAGCATGTAAGTAGATACTAATTCTGTCACTGCATTTTGGTGCTTAAGTGTGAAAACACCTGCAGTTTAAGCCATGTCCTGGGATGACACAAGGTGTAAATAAATCACTTGGAAACAGTGATTCAGGGCAATGCCATCCCCATACCCCCCTGGGGGAAGCCACGCTTCAGATTCATTCCGGGTCAGACCTCAGGAGCTGTATTTATTCATTAAGCCACATTGTTTCTGTGGGAAGCCAGACTTCCCAGTTCATATCCACTAATCAAAAGAAATGGAGAAGAGCACTGTCCCAGCACTTAGCATAATTCTGGCAATAATCATCATTTTGCAGCCTTAGACTTGGTCTTTTAATAAAGGTAGCTTTGGGTTTCTGCCGGAGGGGTAACTGATGCACTTGTGGCTGCAGCCTGCAGAGGGTTGGTGCAGGGTCAGTCCTGCTCCTCAGGTACAGCCACTGCCAGGCTGGCAGAAGGGAAAGGAGCTGCCCGAGGGAAGCTTTGTCTCGTTGTCCTCCAAAATTTGTCATTAAGCGGGGCCAGAATAAGCAGAAAGTTTGTGGGCAGGAGTGGGGAAAGAAGGGAGGGGGAGTGTGAAAAGGACGTGGCAATGAAAAAAAGGGAATTTAAGAATGTGTTAGGGTGAATGCCTTCCTCCGTTTGCAGGGATTCAGGCCAAGTGTAGTCACCCAGAAATAGGTGCAGGCAAGCCTTAGCCTCCAGTTCCAAGTATTCTTAGCTTTCTCAGTTAAGGAAGCCTAGTAAAAAGATTTTTATAGTGGTAAGCAGCATAGAGGAGGTTGGGGAAAGAAGCTGGAAAATACTTAATCATTTTGACTCCTCCACTCAAGACTGTCAGCAAAACTACTACATCCTTCCTCACTGAGGATGCTTATCTCGGAGCAGCATGTCTTTAGTACCCCCTTCCAGAGTAACCTTTACCACTCACGCTCCTGTCCTCCCTCCCTAATACATCAGGCACAATGCAGAGGCACGGGATGTCGCCCAGCGTTCGGAAGCCAGTGTATGTCCCGCTCCAGGGAGCTGAGCACTCGGGGGACCCTTAGACCAGAAGAACCCGTGTTAGCAACTGGCGCCTGGACTTGAAGCCGCAACAGCTGGTTGTGTGGGCTGGGGTAACTGGAACAGAGTTACAAGGAGTGCTGGGTAGGCAGAGAGAAAGACGGACTTTCAGCAGAGCTTGTGCGTACGTCTGGTGCATGCAACAGGCAAATGTAGATTACGTGGCTATTCTGAGAGTGTGGCTTGCAATGCCAACCCGTTGCCAGGAATTTACAAGTGCAAAATTGGCAGCATATACAGAAACACTCGTTTGTTTTCCAGATTATGCTTAGTAAGGGTGCAGTTAAGCACATTAGGCTGTTTTATTCATGCCTATGTTCTACAAGCTTCTACAGGCACAGGGAGCCGATTCACACAAAGGGCAGTTGTGGAAATACTGGTTTTCTGCAGCCTGTGTTGCTCCAGAGAACCTGGAAGCAACTTGTTCAGCTCAGGAGGGAAAATCTGTTGGCAGCACCATTCAGTATGGTGAATCATAACTTCCTCCTGTTTGTCTAGTAATCCAAAATGTCTTCTAGGAAAAATGAGACAGACAGGTCTTGCATTCCAACTCCTATGAGGAAAGACATTTCCACTAGAAAAGACTAATACTAGAAAATAAAATTTATGTCTTTCCTTAAGCTTTGAAACAAACTATCATTACTATTTCCAGATCAGTTGTAAACTGTATATGTATCTTTTTATTTTTATTATTAATGCAAGACTAAAATGCCGCCAACATAAGTACTTGCGGTATGTATTATCATGTGACATCTTCCATTCTGACAACCAACAAAAGAAGAAAAATATGAGCAAAGACTTAAGTTACTGGCTGTGCAGACATATAAAGCAATTTATTAAAGTCCACGGTGCCAAAAAGGTAGTCCATTGCTCTCATGAAAAGTGGTTCAAGGTTCAGTACATAACAAAAAAACCATTGATTTATGGGTGGGCAGTGATTTTTTTAAATGCATGGGAAGACTCTTAAGGACTATTCGTGCTGAACTGCTTTATGCTACTGCCTCAGACTAGTACTCAGTTCTTTGATGTGCTTGTTTATAAAATTACACTTCACATGCAGCCTACTGCATGGTAGTTTTTAAGAGGCCCCGGAGCTCTCTGCAGTCAGACCAGCTGAGCAGAAAATGCTATCTACAGCATGAAAAATTAGTAAACTGTGGGTTGAAACAGCCGAACTAACATTGCCTAATATCAGTGGGGTTCGGCATTGCACTACTTTCTATGTGTTGACATGGTTTAAACTGAAATCTTGCAAGGAGTGTAAAGTTTACCACCCTCCTCAACTGGTAAACAAGTATTACATCTTCCTCTTGCAGCATTCAGTTGTCTTTCATAGCTCCTTGGGAGGGTTTGGTGTGGTGGTGTAGCTTTTACAAACTGAATGCTGTTGACAGGTTGTATGGTTTCTTAACAAAAATGTTCTCCAACATAGAATCAGAGACTCATAGAATCACAGAATCATAGAATCATAGAATAGTTTGGGTTGGAAGGGACCTCTAAAGGTCATCTAGTCCAACCCCCCTGCTGTGGGCAGGGACATCTTCAACTAGATCAGGTTGCTCAGAGCCCCCTCCAACCTGACCTGGAAGGTTTCCAGGGATGGGGCATCCACTACCTCTCTGGGCAA